GTTGCTGCTGACTGACCAAGTCCCTCTCTGCAGCTGCTGCTGCTGAAAAACCATCAGCCAACCTCCGGAGCACGGACCGACCCAAAGAATGAGACTAAGGGGGTCAATGCGACCCGGACGCACTTTGGTTGAGTCCCGTTAAACCAAGGATGGAGGCTAGGACTTTTCAGACCTCATATTCTAAGCATAGACAAATGACCTGCAGAACCCGAAGGTCATCTGAGTCCATTTTTATGCAAAAACGGAAAATGAACTTCACCAAACTATTCGCCTCAGGACCCCGAGGACGCCCGAAAACAGCAAATAGGGGCAAATGGCAACTGAATCCGATGAAACTTGGTAGGGTGTTTCCATAGGGCACATACAGAGAGCCCACTAAAATTTGACTGATTCTGACCTCGTTTAGGTTAGGACATGCAAGTCTGAGTTTTTCGGTTCTCCCTCCTTAGACAAAAACGGCAAAACCTGCAAAATGCGCGAAATCCGCAGATCTGCAGATCTGCAAAGTCTGTGTTTTTTGCAAATCTGTGTTTCTGTGCAAAGTCTGTGCTTTCTGCATGTCCGCTGTAGGAACAAGTACTGAGAGTCTTAAGTTTTGACGTCCGGGGCAAGGGAAGACCCGGGGACGTAGTCGGACGCATGAAGTAGGATGAAGGGTCATCCACCTCACACCATTTTCCTCCTCCGTCTTCTTCACCCATCCACCATAGTCACCCACCTCACACCGACTCCCTCCTCCATCTCCTTCACCCATCCACCTCATACCTCCACCTTCTTCACCCATCCACCATAGTTATCCGCCTCACACCATCTCCCTCCTCCATCTTCTTCACCCATCCACCATAGTTATCCGCCTCACACCATCTCCCTCCTCCATCTTCTTCACCCATCCACCATAGCCACCCACCTCACACCGACTCCCTCCTCCATCTCCTTCACCCATCCACCTCATACCTCCACCCTCTTCACCCATCCACCATAGTCATTTGCATCTCACCATCTCCCTCCTCCATCTTCTTCACCCATCCTCCATAGTTATCCGCCTCACACCATCTCCCTCCTCCATCTTCTTCACCCATCCACCATAGTCATCCACCTCACACCGTCTCCCTCCTCCATCTCCTTGACCCATCCACCATAGCCATCCACCTCACACCTCCACCTTCTTCACCTATCCATCATGGCCATCCACCTCTCATCATCTCCCTCCTTCATCTTCTTCACCTATCCACCATAGCCATCCATCCGCCTCGCACCACCTCCCTCCTCCATCTCCTTCGCCCATCCACCATAGCCATTCACCTCACTTCACCTCCCTCCTCCATCTTCTTCACCTATTCACCATAGTCAATCACCTCACACCATCTCCCTCGCCCATCTCCCTCACCCATCCGCCATAGCCAGCCACCTCACGTCGTCTTTCCCCTCCATCTTTTCCAACCATCCCCCCACGCCTAACCACCTTACACCCCCTTCCCTCTTCACCGCACTCACCAACCAAAGGGCCATGACCAAGAGGGCGCAAAGAAGCGAGGCATAGAGAGAGGACCTTAGGTAGGATGGTGGGGATAAATAGGGGACGAATTAATTAGGAGTAGGAGTTTTTTTTTTTTTTTTTTTTTTT